CGGTTAGAAATTAGAGATACTTGTTTTGTGATTAGAATCAGCTGGGTCTCTTCCAAGCGGCACATGCAAGTGATACAGAGCATATTCTCCTTCTCAAGGAGCTGCTGTAATTTGGCCCTCCAAGAAACAGTATGTGTATTTCGAGTGCAAGTGATTTTTTTTTTTTTCTTTTCCTTTTTAATTTTAATTCAACTGTTTTATGATTGTATTTTACGGACTACATTGTTGAGGAATGTGTGTACCTGGCATGATACAATGAATTTTAAAGGATTGAGAGTTGAATTATTTTATATTGATTTTTGGGTCCATTTTATATGATTCTTTTTCCCCATTCTTTTTTTTCAACTCAAATTTAATTTCAAGTACCAAATTCAACACTAGGAGATACGGAATCCCACGGGTTTTGCATGAGATTATGACCAAATGAAATACTACTACTTAATTATTTTGTGGAAATTAGACGAGTAGTTTTGTTTGTGCCTCGTTGTGCACATCCCTCAACAGACAACAGCACAATTGATTGGGTCAACCCAAACCAACCAAGAGCCTTTTTTCTAATTTTGACCAACTACCTACCTTTTGTATTTCTTGTTTTTTCTATTATCATCAATCTAAATATCTTAAATAATGAAGATCATCATAAGCGAAATGTTTATAGCTTTCAAACTTATAAAGGAAAACTTGAAGTTTATGTCAAAAGTTGATCTTTTATTAATAACATCAATCAATTCAGCTTTTACAGGGTTACTATAGCGTTACTATTTGATAGGAGTATAAAAAATAGTACTACTATATAGAGAGGAAAAGAAAAAAAAAATGTATAAAGTAATATGTGAACTGTGAACAGAGCAAGTGGCAAAATGGGCAGCTTTTTAGTCTTATATTTAAGCTTGATTGTCGTCATTCTTGGCCTCTCACTTTCTCTATCTCTCTTCAATTGACACTGTAATCACCATCACCAAATGCAGAGAACAGCCCTTATTTCCCCAATTATCTAAAAAAGGTTTGGGTTTTACTGTTGACAGTTATTCGCATCCGTTGTGTAATGTCCTGTGCGCGTAAAATGCGATAAAGTTGCAATTCTTTTTATTGATCTGATTTTGACGCCGTTTGTTTGAAGAATTTCTTAGGTTCTTTTTCTTCGTCGAGGGGGCCTTCAACTTCCGATATGAGCAAAGATAAAGAGAGGCCGCCGGAACCCCTTGATTTCTTCATATGGACGGTTGAGGTTTTTCTCTTTACCCCTTATTTCTCTGTCAATGTTTTTTTTTTTTTTT